TTGCAACTGACAGTGATGTTTTTGTAGTTTAAAAAGGGCTTCAAGTTCTAAAGTTGTTCCTGTAAACACGTTTTTTTTCGACTCCTTTTGTTAGTGTCACCTTTGTTTTATCTGTTTACGTTTTGTTCCGATGCTACTTTTTTTCAATTAAGGAGAAGGTTGGACTAGAGTGAATTTTCAATTGTCGTTGCTTTGCAAGCGATGCCATGCTCCGCTTCGCCTGTTTCGAAATCTTTCATCAGATTTCTTGATTCCAAGTAAAGGGTTCATTCAAAAACTAGCGAATGAGCAAAAAGTCAAAAGTGCAAAAAAGATGAAAAAAATATATATTTTTTCTTTTAACGGTCCATTTTATTTATATATATATATATATACATATTTGTTTTCTCAGAAATTACCCTTTCAATCTGAGACCAGGCTCAATTGAAATTTTGGGCGGTGAGATTCTACACTGCCTGAGCGGTCCCTTAGAGTAGCTCCGTCATTTTTCGAACTTAACTTCAAAAGTTAGTCACGAGCGGATCTTGATTTTTTTTGCTGTAAAATTGAGTTTTTGGACTTTGTTTGTCTGCTCAAGTTTTGCATGCTTAGTTGCCACCTCGGGGATTTTGAGTGTGCTGTAAGCAGCTATCATTGATGTTGCAAGTGCAAGTGTAGTTCATTGTATCAGGAACTTCGAACTTACAAAAAAATTAATTAAATTTCAGTATGTTCCGGCTCAACTGATGTCTGCTCATAGGTGTCAGCTTCATCGGCCCATTTCGATTTTTTTTGTTCTATAAATGATTTTAATTGTAGGTGCAACTGAACGTGCTGTTTTTTGTAGTTTCAAAAGGGCTTTAAATTCTAAAGTTGTTCTTATAAATACATTTTTTTCGACTCTGTTTGTGTCAGCTTTGTTTGATCAGTGTAATTTTTGTTCCGTTGCTACCTTTTTTCAATTAAGGTGAAGGTTGGACTAGAGTAGAAATTTATCGAGACTTACAACATTTAAGGTTTGGCCGACCTAGTTTTTTAAACAGTTCCCATTTTTTCGGCTGGTTATTCATGCTGCTGTTGTATTGGAAGTGATGCGATGCTTCGCCTATGTCGAAAACACTCATCGGAGTTTTTGATTGCTAAGATAAATGCTAACAAGTAAAGAAATCATTCAAAAACCAGCGAATGAGCAAGAAAAAGTCAAAAGTGCAAAAAAGATGAAAAAAAGTTTTTTTTCTCTTAACGGCCCATATTATATATATATATATAGATTTTTGTTTTCTCAAAAACTACTCTTTTAATCTGAGATTTGGCTCAATTGAGATAACATGTGGTGAGATGCTACACTGCCTCAGTGGTCACCTAGAGTAGCACCGTCGACTTTCTAACTTGACCACAAAAGATTGAGTGCCGAGCGGACCTTGACTTTTTGCGGTTAAAATTGAATTTTTGGACTTTGTTTGTCTGCTCAAGTTTTGTCTGCTTAGTTGCCACCTCTAGGATTTTGAGTGTGCTGTAAGCAGCTATCATTGTTGTTACAAGTGCTAGTGTAGGTCATTGTTTCAGTGGTGTCTTCTCAAAGATTTCTGCTTCATTGGCGCATATCGGATTTTTTTTTGTGCTATAATTAAACTTCCTTGTAGGTGAAACTGAAAGTGTTGTTCTTTATAGTTTCAAAAGGGCTTCAAGTTCTAAAGTTGTTCTTGTAAACACGTTTTTTTTCGACTCCTTTTGTTAGTGTCACCTTTGTTTTATCTGTTTACGTTTTGTTCCGATGCTACTTTTTTTCAATTAAGGAGAAGGTTGGACTAGAGTGAATTTTCAATTGTCGTTGCTTTGCAAGCGATGCCATGCTCCGCTTCGCCTGTTTCGAAATCTTTCATCAGATTTCTTGATTCCAAGTAAAGGGTTCATTCAAAAACTAGCGAATGAGCAAAAAGTCAAAAGTGCAAAAAAGATGAAAAAAATATATATTTTTTCTTTTAACGGTCCATTTTATTTATATATATATATATATACATATTTGTTTTCTCAGAAATTACCCTTTCAATCTGAGACCAGGCTCAATTGAGATTTTGGGCGGTGAGATTCTACACTGCCTGAGCGGTCCCTTAGAGTAGCTCCGTCATTTTTCGAACTTAACTTCAAAAGTTAGTCACGAGCGGATCTTGATTTTTTTTTGCTGTAAAATTGAGTTTTTGGACTTTGTTGGTCTGCTCAAGTTTTGCATGCTTAGTTGCCACCTCGGGGATTTTGAGTGTGCTGTAAGCAGCTATCATTGATGTTGCAAGTGCAAGTGTAGTTCATTGTATCAGGAACTTCGAACTTACAAAAAAAATTAATTAAATTTCAGTATGTTCCGGCTCAACTGATGTCTGCTCATAGGTATCAGCTTCATCGGCCCATTTCGATTTTTTTGTTCTATAAATGATTTTAATTGTAGGTGCAACTGAACGTGCTGTTTTTTGTAGTTTCAAAAGGGCTTTAAATTCTAAAGTTGTTCTTATAAATACATTTTTTTCGACTCTGTTTGTGTCAGCTTTGTTTGATCTGTGTAATTTTTGTTCCGTTGCTACCTTTTTTCAATTAAGGTGAAGGTTGGACTAGAGTAGAAATTTATCGATACTTACAACATTTAAGGTTTGGCCGACCTAGTTTTTTAAACAGTTCCCATTTTTTCGGCTGGTTATTCATGCTGCTGTTGTATTGGAAGTGATGCGATGCTTCGCCTATGTCGAAAACACTCATCGGAGTTTTTGATTGCTAAAATAAATGCTAACAAGTAAACAAATCATTCAAAAACCAGCGAATGAGCAAGAAAAAGTGCAAAAAAGATGAAAAAAAGTTTTTTTTCTCTTAACGGCCCATATTATATATATATATATATAGATTTTTGTTTTCTCAAAAACTACTCTTTTAATCTGAGATTTGGCTCAATTGAGATAACATGTGGTGAGATGCTACACTGCCTCAGTGGTCACCTAGAGTAGCACCGTCGACTTTCTAACTTGACCACAAAAGATTGAGTGCCGAGCGAACCTTGACTTTTTGCGGTTAAAATTGAATTTTTGGACTTTGTTTGTCTGCTCAAGTTTTGTCTGCTTAGTTGCCACCTCTAGGATTTTGAGTGTGCTGTAAGCAGCTATCATTGTTGTTACAAGTGCTAGTGTAGGTCATTGTTTCAGTGGTGTCTTCTCAAAGATTTCTGCTTCATTGGCGCATATCGGATTTTTTTTGTGCTATAATTAAACTTCCTTGTAGGTGAAACTGAAAGTGTTGTTCTTTATAGTTTCAAAAGGGCTTTAAGTTCTCAAGTTTTTATTAGTAACACATTTTTTCGACTCAGTTTGTGACAGCATTGTTTCATCTGTGTAAGTTTTGTTCCGTTGCTTTTTTATTTTTCAAATAAGGGGAAGGTTGGACTGGAATGAACTTTCATCGAGACATACGACTTTTAAGTTTTGGCCGACCTAGTTTTTTTCAAATATGTTTCATTTTTTTTTGGCTTGTTTTTCATGCTGTTGTTGTATTGCAAGTGATGCGATGCTCCGCTTCGCGTGTGTCGAAATCACTCATCAAAATTTTTGATTGCTAGAATAAATGCCAACAAGTAAAACGGCTCATTCAATAACCAGCGAATGTGCAAAAGAGATGAATTTTTTTAATTTCTTTAAAATGAACAAGTACCCGTTTAACAAAAACATTGGAAGCGATAAATCGTATGTGTATATAACTTCTGTTTACTTTACATTTAATCGTTCTAAAATTGAATAGAAGCCAGCTTGGGTTGTTTTCGTCTTGTTTGTTCAATTTCTACACTTATATCAAAAGCATGTATTCATTAATATCCGGGTTGTTAACAAATGTACATGTTGTTAGAAAAAAGTTTTGACTGTGTTAATCATTTGTAGTGCGGCTTTTTTGTCGTAACTGTAATTTACTGTTAGTTTGTAAGTTTTGTATGTATATATTGAATGATATTGAAAGAAGTGCTTCATCGCTTTTTAGGTCGGGTGACTTGGTTTTCTTTCAGGAAAAGTTTTTCAATATGATTGCACTCAAGGTTTTTTAAACGGTCTGACTTTTTTTTCTAATATTCAATTTTTTTTTCTTGCTCACAGGAAGGCAAACCGGGACTTTCCAAATAGGAAATCGGAAATGGCATGAACAAAACGTGAATGGCTTTGAGTTTCGAAGGTATTTTTAGTTATCAGAATTCTAAGCGGATTAAAAAGTGATCCAGTTGTTTCTAATCGGCTGAATTTTCCAATCATATTTTTTCTCTTGAAATCAAGATTTTAAATAATTTAATTGCGTGGTTTTTATTCGGTATTTTTGAGATCAATTACACTTTTCGAACTGTCGTTAGAAACCCATGCGAGATGGAATTTTTGTCTTAGCGGTGAAATTTTCCAATTCCTTCTCCAAGACTATCAAACTTTTTTCTTCTTTCAGCGTAACTGGCCGATCCTTTTTACTCCGTTTCATGAACCAAATATACTCAATATTCTAATTATATATTTTTTCAAAATGCATGAAATATTTTAAATAAAAAACTGAACATGTCTGTACATAATTGTAAATGTTTTTCTTCTTTTTGTAAGACTTAATTTGAGTTGCTCTCAAAAGTGGGCGTGTTAGGGGAGTAAAACCTTGTAGGGTTTGCTGCAAGAAAAGATCTTTGAAGCTAAAATCATTTGGATTTTTCATTCTAGGAGAAGCTTTGATCTGTTTATTGGGCCTGGTTAAACATCAGAAATATTTTGGTAAATTGTCTGGAACTGATTTTAAGAAGGTCGTACTTTTTCGAAATTGCATTTTCGAATTTTTTTAAACCGTTTTTGAATTAAGTTTTTGGATTAGTTTTACATGCAGCGAATTTGGAAAAATTAGATCCTTTAAAATGTAAATTTAAGTGTTCTTCCTTGTTTCGTTGTTTGAGTCATAAGACTGCTTAAATTTGTAGGTACTCCGACAGCTATTTAGAACTGGTTAAGCCCGAATTTGCTTTGTTCAGAGAGAGAATGAGTTTGCCTCGTGTAGTGCTGAGCAGATTTTCAGCTCCCATCGAAAGGCTGGTGTACTGCAAGTTATGTTTGAAGCAGCAATCTTGCAGTTACTACAGGAAAACGACGTCCAACCCGTACAAGCTGGCCAACTTTCGACAGAAACAAGCTGTTACTCATGAATACCTCCCGAAGAAAGTTGATTTCAAACGAATTCTTCCGGATAAACCAGAGGAGCCAGTTCTTGTTGACCATTATCCGGCTAAAGAAAAACTGAAGCATTGTGACCAGCTGATGCAGTTTTTTGAGCCTAAAGATAGTTGGGGAGAGGGTCTGGTGAAAGACTGTTTTAGAGGGCAAAGCTGGTCTCTGGGAGTATTGCGGGGCAAAAGCCATTGTGATCTACATAAGTTGTGGTAGGTTCTTTGTGCTTTTGGGCAAATTTTTTATCACATTTTCTTGCCATGTTGAGATTTGGTGGATTCATCTTATCATTAGTTCTTTGCTGCGGTTTTTTTGCTACTTATACAGTAGTAGCATCTCAAAACGGCTTCACGAAACAAATCAATGTTGGTTTTTCATGATCTGAAAATAATTTGAATTGTTTAATTTCTGCAGGTATGTGTTGTTGAAAGAGCGAAACGTGCTGCTCACTCTAGACAGGGAATGCGAAGAGACAGACAGGACAACACCGCACGAGGACAGATTGGAGAAGGCCGAACAGAGTATGGAGAACATCCTCAATGTTGTGGAGGAGAGAGATGGGGCTGTGGATCGACTTGAGAACGAAAGAAGCCGACCCAAGGGAGCATATACATGGAACATGTTTGGGTTCAGATACTGGAAGTGGTAAGTTCTGAATGCTTCCCTTGTGCAACCTCAAATTGATAATTTTCTGAAAGTCCAATGGCCGCAATTTGCGTTTCGATCTTTTTTAGTTCAGCAGAAACCCCGGAAGTATTGACTTGTCGAAATATACTGAACCCCAAGTAATATTGTAAAAATGGGCAAATTGTCTAGAAATCGGTGTTTATAGGATGTTCATTATTGTAACAATGTGCCTATGCGCTACCAATTTGGTTTAACAAAATCACGAAATCGAATCATCCTTCATATGTATATTTTACTGAAAGCCAATTTTGCAAAAGTTCTTTTTTCGCCCAGTTGGCGTGGAGCTAACGTTTAGGTTTCGTGTGGGATATACATACCTACTTTTATGGCTCGAGCAGCCGTGGCTGAGAGATTAAGACGCGCGACCTCTAACACTAAGGTCCAGGTTCGAATCCCGCTCCGGTGACGGTTGGCGGGGTCGCAGTGTCATCCGCCTCCTCAAGGTAAAATGGATGACTTGTTTCTCCACAAGGAAGAAAAAGCTTAAGCTAGAGAGATAGGAGCTGTGACAAGGGCTGATAAAAACGTCTCGAATGCCAACCTGAACATTTGAAAAGAAACTCAATAGTTTTAAGGAGCTCAATATAAGTCGTACTAAACGCTATTTTGAGGGTCAAGCCTATTGTATATATTTATGAGTAAATTTTTCTGTTAGCTGTTTACTTATTTTTGTCAACTTTGCCCTTGTCATGTTTTTTTTCGGCCATTGGGAGGAGCTTTTTATTCGGGTGTTCTTACCCTTCTATTCGTATTACAATCGGGTATTAGAACTTGGTCCCGTAAACAACTTTGTTAACAGGATGACTGAAATTTGGTCATCTCCAATTTAATCTTTGTTTCTACCCAATTTGACCGTTTAACAGCTGTTATTAAACAGCTGGCTTCAACGACTCAATTGATAATTGTTTTAGAGCTGAAAATTTTTTTTAGATGTAAATTGATTTTTTGTCGGATTTATCGATTTCGACCCAATTTTTGTCGGCTTAGTTGCCGTGTCATTAATTCTGTAATTTTTAAAGCGTTTTTAAGTACTTTGTTTCTTTTTTTTTCATGAGGGTATATAAATTTCATGGTTTTCTGGTTTTTATAGGCGCCAAATATTTCTGTTAGAAATGAAATTTTTTTGAGTTTTCTGCTGGATTTTTTTTTGCAATAATTTTTCAATTTATTGGATACATGGTTTTTGATTTTTTTGTTCTAAAATAGCGTGAAACTAGTTAAGTTTTAGTTAGGTTTGTTTGACGTTTGAGCAATTTAATTTGAAATCGATTGAAGTTGATGATTAAATTTAGTTTCAATATGTCAAAAATATTGATATGTTGTCAGATTTTTTTTTGCAATTTTGACTCGACTGTTTTGTCTACAATGGAATATGAACAACGGTAGATTCTGCACGATATCCAGTAGTGTAGTTTTCTCTGGCTGAATTTTTTTGGAAAAAAAAATTGCGTGTTTTTTCATTTCCTTCGTTGACGTTTTTTTAATGTTTTTTTTTGTTGTGATCTAGCTCTCTTACCGGTGTGAATAATTTTTTTTTGACTATTCTTGATGTAATTGGGTTATATTCATAGGCTTTCATAGATTTTTTAGGTTTTTGTCAAGTTCTTTTCAGTGACTATTTTGTAATTTTTTCATTCATGTTTTTGAAATTTTGTTTTTCGCTTTTTTTTTAATCTTATACTGTAGCAATTAGCGGATAGGGCTTTTCATAGGGCTTTGTTCAACAAAATCCATTTAAGTTTTTCAGTTTTCAAGTTTGAGACATATTATCTTTTGATTTTTATTGTGTATCGCAAGTAGTGCGAAGCTCAGCTTCGCCTCTGTGTATAGTTTAATTTTTTAAAACGCAAAATCAGAAACCACAAATAATCATTGGACTGTGTCGACTGGTATATCATATTAAAGCCCTTTCATTCGTATTTCGAATGATTTTTTAAAATTCTCAAAAAAATGTCCCAGTGCCGGGAAAAGCAAATCACTGAAATATAACTAGTTTTCCGAAGTTTTTAAGAGTCGTTTTTTACGCTTGCGATTAGCAATCGTTATCAAACCGGAGCAGACTTTTTTCGTGTTAAAAACTAGTTGGCAGAATCAGTTCAATCACTTCTTTCCCTTCTTATCTTCGCTTCACTTCTCCTCTTATCTTCTCGTAGCATGTACCAGGTTGCTTCCCCCTTGGCCTGGACTAAAAGCAGTTGCCTTTTTACCCTAAAGCAGTCGCCATTGTCGTGGTCGGATCTTGTTCTTTTTTAGTATCGAGGAAATCTAAAAAAAATTCTGAGAAAAATGAATGAAATGCTAGTTTTTTGTTTGTGTGCTCAGATTTTGTCGGCTAAATTGTAGTTGCAAGTGTTGTTCATTCTAATTTCAAAGGGGGACTTCAACGATTTTTTTAAATTTTTTTTTCGTAAAATCTTTCTTTTTTCGGTTCAGGTGGTGTATGCTCAAAGATGGTCGGCTTAGTTGCCACAGCATTGATGTTTTTTTTTCGCTGTGAACAATTTACATTGTAGTTGTATGTACAATTGTTGTCCATTGTTGCTTAGCATGGACTTTAGACTTTTTTTATAAAAAGCTTTTTTTTCAGCTAAATTTGTGTCTGCTCAAAGGTTGTCAGCTTCATCTTCTTTAGGTGGCGAAAATTTTTTTTTCGTAAAATCTTTCTTTTTTCGGTTCAGGTGGTGTATGCTCAAAGATGGTCGGCTTAGTTGCCACATCATTGATGTTTTTTTTTCGCTGTGAACAATTTACATTGTAGTTGTATGTACAATTGTTGTCCATTGTTGCTTAGCATGGACTTTAGACTTTTTTATAAAAGCTTTTTTTTCAGCTAAATTTGTGTCTGCTCAAAGGTTGTCAGCTTCATCTTCTGATAACAAGAGGACAGAATTCCTGACAACAGATTTTTTTGGGCATGTCTTCATTTTAAATTTCCGCTCCATTCTAATTTTTGCTGGTTGTAAATCAATTCTTGTTTTTAGTTTTCTTTTTTTTCTTATTTTTTGCGCCTTTCACTTCAAGTTGTTTTTCGGCTCAAATAGTTGAAATGGTGATATTTTGTCATTTGAAATGCCATAATTTTAAAATTGCTTTTGTGCTTACAAAAGGTTAGGTGGCGAAAAGCTTATAATTTTTTGGCTCAAAATGTTTTAGTTCAACTTTGATTTTTTTTGGCTCAACAGTCGTCTACCTAATTTTGTCGGCTCAATATTAGCTGATTGATTCTTGTTTTCAAGCTTATCTGAAACTGGCAGTTGTTTTTCTCAGTATTTTGGTTAAATTTAACCGCATTTCAGACAAACGTTAAAAAAATTATTATTACTTTTAAAATGATTTTTACATCTTTTTTTTTCGACTCAGCTTGCATCCTGTTTTTTTGGGTCTAACTGCCATGCCGTTTTTCGCGTATCTTAAGTGGTGTCGAAATAAAACTTGTCCAATTTTCCTGTTTTAATATGAATGAGGAATAGGCTCTAGTCTTTTTTGTGATAATTTTGTTGCTTTTGTATCAAACGGGTCCGAAGCTACTTCGTGGTATTACAAAGCTATTAACGATAGCGAAAAAGCTGTAGCCTACGTCTCTACTACTAGCTGCAACGACCTATCATTGGTTCTGTACGGTGCTTGTAATGATATAGTTTTTAATTTAGTTACATTTTGTTCAGGTTCCGGGAACACTCTGTTCCCTGGTGGGAGAACGAGCGATTCAGACTCGAGAATACCCAATATCGCGATTACGTCATTCCTTGGATGCGCCTCCGTCTTGAACGAAGGAGGACGAAGCTGCTAGCTCAGAGACGACATTTTGAACGAAGGTTGAAAGAATCAGCGAAGAAGTATCCGAATGTACCGATGCCCCCACTGCCTGAAGTTGACAATCCTCTAAAAGAGGAAAAATTCGATATCAATGCGTACATGCATAAATACAAAAACTCAGTTGAACATCAATCAGAATCGACAGATGAGGAAGATCTGCAAACTAGATAGATTTCTTTTATTCTGAGTTTTGATAGCTTTAACAGAATAAACCACGTTTTGTTCTAATAGACGTTTTGTTCATCTGCACAAAAGGATCTGTGGATATAGCCTGGATAAGGTATTTCTGATAAACACCGTGACATATTTTACATTGAGGTGTATTTTGTTCAAAGTTTCAAGTTGTTTTTTTTCCATCTTTTAACACTTACGATTAGCGTTAGTTAAATGATATTTGATCCCTGGAACCTTCAAATTATTTCAGAATTCGAAATGAAATGTAGTGTCAAATTAGACATCTGATCATAAAATGACAGTTGATCCATTCACTGAATCAGAAGGCGCAGATATCGTTTGTGTATTTGTCTGCCATTTTCACGTCAAGAAGGGCAATTTAATTGAATGGAGTAGCCCGACCTCATTTGACCTCAAGACAGACGCGGTCGAGTTCAAATGTCTGCCTAGTGGATCTCATCTGGTCAAAAGAGACACTGTCTTCTTCAAAGTAGGAGACCATTTTGCAGTGAGTCATTTGAAAAATGTTCACATTGATGAACAGCAATCAAATAGTGACGGCAAAAATTTGGAAGATGAAAGGGGAACTCGTATGCGTGCTATAGGGTTTGTTTGTAAATCAGTGCTTCGATTTCAAAAGTACGCTGAGTTTCTGACTAGAAGTGAAGACGTGAGCAGATTATACGAAAGTGTTCATAATGATCCGGATGCTTATGAAATCCTGCAGAGTTATGCAAAAGAGCAGAAAGAACCTGTGCCAAGTGGTCTTAGCTACAGAATTCCATATTCGCCAAACTATGGTACGATGTTAACCAATGAATTATGATGCTATCAACAAATCATGAAGAAACGTCTTTCCGTCATCAAAAGTCGTATCAAATTAAGCACTCCATATTGGTAATAGTTTTTTTGAGAATGGATGAAATTTAGTCTTCATTTACTGGACGAAATTTCTGTATTTCCTGTTCAATAAGTGGTTTTTAATTGATTTAAAAAGCATGTCATAAAGTGCGGCTCAACCTGTTCTGTGCAATGATAACTGGCCTGACTTTTCTGTGCTAACCGAACAGCAAAAGGCTACCTTTGTTTTTTCTAGATGATATATGCTTATCTATTTCTATAATAATTTAGAATGTTTGCTTCAGGTTTCTTTTCACTTATTGAGGATTTCGGTGTCAAACTCCTTGTGCTGTGGAAACTGAGTTTGCTCAATCTGAGGATCCTTTTTTATAGTTCACCTCCGCTTGAAAAACTGTGCAATCAGTTGTATCCTTTATCAATAATATCTCGCTCGTCATTCAAGAAAAACTTTTGCGTTTCTCAGCTTAGTCAAACTTCAAGCAGTGAAACGAGTGAAGCAGAAGATGACTTTTTGGATGTTAATAAATTTTTATTTTACGTATCACTGCTTGATTTATCAGCCAATCGAGAAAATCGGTTTAGCGAGGGAAGCGGTTACATGGCGTGTACCTCAGACAAAGTTGCTGAAGAGTCAATGAAAAGCTGCTACGATATATTCGTTGATGGAACGTCTATACGTTCCTGGCGACGGGATCTAGCAAGTCTGTTGAAACCCTCGAAGGCCGATCAAACACGACTCACAGAGCTGAAAGGGCTGCAGTTGTTTCATTCGGAGTATTCGCCTGAAGAAATCCATGAGACTTTTGCGAAATACTTCATCGATTTGAATAACGGAATATTTAAAACTTTGAATGAAAGTTGTGAAGGTGACAACATCGATGGAAGCCACATGGCTCAGTTAGAGAGTAGTGGGATGGTGAGTTCAACGGTGGGCGAAATATCTAGTGCTCATGTTAGCCAAATGGGGTTGTTGCCTAACAGTGGAGACATGGATTTTGTACAAGAAGTAGCGGCTCATTTTGATTTGAATGTTGTAGTGGTGAAAGATGGAGGATGTTGTCCTATTTTTACAAGTTTCTAAAGAGGCAGACAAGAAAACTGTAAATAGCCCAACAATGGTGAAGGTCCTGGACCTATTTTGATACGTAACTCGCGATAATCAAGATCAGCTTTTGTATGGTGTATTTATGTCAATTTTCAGGATGTGTATTCAAATTATGTAAATTACATTATACAGAGTAGTTTTGTTAGGCGTGGTATAATTTAATGATTATATCAAGTTAGTCCATTTTGAATTAAAGTTTCAGACAACATTCTTTTCAAGAGCACTTTCTTCCAAATCTATACTACATCTAGCTGTGTGAATTATTGCTAGTTGCAACGCAGTCTGATGTGCAAATTCAGTGTCTTTGAATCCGAACAGAAAGAAAACATGGAAAGTTTCTGGTTTTGCCCATGCCGCAGACCATTAGTTTGAAAATGGCAGGTTCTGAAACAAGAGAGTAATCTATACATTCGGGGTTTCACATGACATATGTTTAAGAAGTCCTTATGTTGACATGTTAAAATGCCAATATATTAGAACGTTTCAAGTATTTACTGAAGTCGAAGATTTAAAATTTTCTACGAGTGTTCTAGTAGGCCATTTTATCGACACGAACTATGGATTGCAAATTTTGGAAGGTCATCACATTTTCACCATAAACGTTTTCGCAACGCAAACGTTTTTTTTTGATTTTCACCATAAACGTTTTTTTTTTATTTTTTGCAACGCAAACTTTTAAAAAATTATTTGTTTAATAGCTTCATTCACAAAATCTGAATTTCTCAACCCTATGATGGGTGCTATGAGGTTACTCTTAGCGATTTTCAATGTATTTTTCAATTATGACCCCTCAAATCTTTTTATTTTTCTTGATATTACGTTTTTTAAGATCTTCGAAAAACGTACATTTTAAAGATATTTCTCGAAATTTCGAGTTCTATCCTAGCGAAGTCAATTTCGATTTTTGACCGTTTTTTTTAAACAGTTTTGAAGTTTTTTGAAAACTACCCTCCCAAATCTGAGGTTTTGATTTGAATGGGTAGAAATGGTTTTGGGAACAGCCCTTGCTTCAGCGGTTACGCCCAAAAGTTTTTAAACCACAATTTTGACCCTCGAAGCAGTGAAATTTTAGATTTTGGACCTTTTTTTGAATTCTCTTAAACTTTTCTCGGAAAATACCCTCCCAGTTCTGAGGTTTTGATTTCAATGGGTAGAATGGGTAATGGAAGGCTCCACTGTTTTTGCGATTACGCTCAAATTTTTTTTTCATTTTTCTAATAAAAAAAGTTATGACCCTCGGAAAAGTCAAATTTTTGGATTTTTGACCGTTTTTTGACTTTTCGCGAAAACTACCCTCCGAAATCTGAGGTAATGGTTGCATTGTGTAGAACAGGTAGTGGGAAGCTCTCATGCATAAGCGGTCAAGTCCAAAAAGTTTCAAAGAACATGTTTTGACCCTCGAAAATTTTGATTTTGACCGTTTCTTTTGAATTTTCTCGAGTTACCCTCCCAAATCGGTGATTTTGTGTTCAATCGAAAGTACAATTTGAGTGAATTCCTTGTGCATAAGCGGCTATGCCTTCTTTTTTTCACACAAAAAGGTATGATTATTGGAAATGTCTTTTCTCGCTAATTATCCTGCCAAATCTGATATAATACGTTTAATCGAAACAGCAGGTTGTTGAAAGCCTAACTTTATAACTGGCTATGCCCAGTCTGTCTAAGAAAAAAGTTATGGCCTTTAAACAAGTCGAAGGTTTGAAACTTTTTGACTTTACGCGAAAACTACCTGCCAATTCTCAGGTCGTGTTCAATCGAAAAACCCGGTTTTTGGAATGTTGTCTGCTTAATCGACTACAACTTGCTCTAGCACGAAAAAGTCATGGATTTTGGAAATCTTTTTGGCCGTTTGTTAGAACATTTGAGCGTTTCTTAGACTCTTTTTGAATTTTCCTAAAATTTACGCAATCAATTCTGCGATGAAAAATTCAGCTGAAAGAACCGGTTGTGTTAATGGTTCCAGGTGGTGTTAAAAAAACTTTGTTGCCGATAAACGAAGCTTGAATGACTTCTTGCTATTCTCGTTTTTACATGCGTTTTTGTTCCGACCATTTGAAAATGGGCAGGGACTCATATTCGGGTATGTTATAGTTTTTTTCTTTTCCACGTAAAATCAAGTTCCACAAATAATCATCGGACTGGGTTGAGTGATATATAATATTAAAGCCCTTCCAGTCGTAACTTGAACCTCATTAAAAATGTCAAAAATTTTTTTCTAGTGACGAGAAAAACTGGTTTGAAAACCGGTTTGAATTTTTCTTCTTATTCCGAGCGAATAAAGCGAGCGAGAAGTCTTATTTTAATGGCTTGAAAGTTTTTAATGGCCAAATTTGGAAGGTTAAAGTTTAGTTTAACTCGAGTAACGTTAATTTTTTTTTGAGTATTTTAGCGCCTCTTTGTAATCTTCAAAAATTCAAAATTTAAATTCGAAATTATTTATATAATTTTTTCAGTTCACACGAAAACTACAATAATCTGAACGACAATAATCTGAAAAAACTTTTTTCTATTTTTAACACTATGGTCGGAACATTATGTGCTATTCGCACAGTTACCGGCTATCCTTGTTCATAATTTCTGCAAAATGATGTGGCTAATTGGAAGATAGGTTTTTTTTCTCAAGTTTTGTTAGCTGAAATGATTTTCTTAAATCAATTTTTTGATCGATTTAAAAAAAAATTTTGATCTTTCTTTGTCGAATTTTTAAAATCTGTTTGTGTCTAATCTTATCTTTAATTTATACTAAAGTACTCTCAAGGATTGCGAATTTTGCCACCATATATGATTGCTCAAATTGTTGTAGTTTTCGAGATATGACGTGTTTTATGATTTCTTTTTAATTTTTCAGAAAACTCTATTTACAAATTAATTTCAGTTTGCAATTCCCAACCCTCCTGTAGTTGGGTGCTGTAAAATCACTCTCAAAGATTGAGAATCTTGCCTCCAAATATGACTGCTCAAAATTTTATTTTTATTGAAACTTTTTTTTCATTAATTGGCTTTGGGAACATTTGACTAAATTATTTAGGTTGTTTATAGCTTAACGTCTGACTCCTGAGATATCATAGATGCTACCTACATATTGTCATGGCTTATACCGTCTGCCTAGTAGATATAACAGATTGATTCGAGAAATAAATAAAACATGAAGACAACCAAAAACCAAAAAAAAAAATTTCTCAAATGTTCTTTGTCGTCTTTGGGGACTTGAAGTGTTGTTTAGACGCTGATTTTAAATCAAAGGTTTGCAGTTAGGTTTTTCTAAAATGTGTTAAGCTTTTAATGATCTGATGCTTTTCTTCTGGTTTAGATTGCATGTTTTGACACTGAATTTTGAAGATAAGCAAACAACAAATGAAAACCGGTTTGAATTTTTCTTATTCCGAGCGAATAAAGCGAGCGAGAAGTCTTATTTTAATGGCTTGAAAGTTTTTTATGGCTTAATTTGAGAGATAAAGTTTAGTTTAACACGAGTAACTTTAGTTTTTTTTGAGTTTTTTAGCGCCTCTTTTAAATCTTAAAAATTCAAAAAATTCAAAAAATAAATTCGAAATTTTTTATATAATTTTTTCAGTTCACACAAAAACTACAATAATCTGAACGACAATAATCTGAAAAAAACCTTTTTGTTTTTTTTTAAGACTATGGTCGGAACATTATGTGCTACTCGCACAGTTACCGTCTGTCCTTGTTTATAATTTCTGTAAGATGATGTGGCTAATTGGAAGATAGGATTTTTTCTCAAGTTTTGTTCGCTGAAATGATTTTCTTAAATCAATTTTTTTGAGCGATTTAAAAAATTTTTTAATCTTTCGTTATCGTTTTTTTAAAAACTGTTTGTGTCTAATCTTATCTTTAATTTATACTAAAGTACTCTCAAGGATTGCGAATTTTGCCACCATATATGATTGCTCAAATTGTTGTAGTTTTCGAGATATGACGTGTTTTATGATTTCTTTTTATTTTTTCAGAAAACTCAATTTACAAATTGATTTTAACTTGCTATTTCCAACCCTCCTGTAGTTGGGTACTGTAAAATCACTCTCAAAGATTGAGAATCTTGCCTCCAAATATGACTGCTCAAAATTTTGTATTTATTAAAACGTTTTTTTTTTTCATAAATTGGCTTTGGGAACATTTTGACTAAACTATTTAGGTTTTTTATAGCTTAACGTCTGACTCCTGAGATATCATAGATGCTACCTACAGTTTGTCATGGCTTATACCGTCTGCCTAGTAGATATTACAGATTGATTTGAGAAAAAAAACATGAAGACAACAAAAAACCAAAAAAAAAACTCTCAATCGTTCTTTGTCGTCTTTGGGTACTTGAAGTGTTGGTGAGACGCTGATTTTAAGTCAAAGGTTTGCAGCTAAGTTTTTCTAAAATGTGTTAAGCTTTTAATGATTTGATGCGTTTCTTCTGGTTTAGATTGCATGTTTTGACACTGAATTTTGAGGATAAGCAAACAGCAAATGAAATACGGTTTGAATTTTTCTTCTTATTCCGAGCGAATAAAGCGAGCGAGAAGTCTTATTTTAATGGCTTGAAAGTTTTTAATGGCTTAATTTGAGAGATAAAGTTTAGTTTAACACGAGTAACGTTAGTTTTTTTTGAGTTTTTAGCGCCTCTTTTAAATCTTAAAAAATTCAAAAAAAAATCAAAAAATAAATTCGAAATTTTTTATATAATTTTTTTCAGTTCACGCAAAAACGACAATAATCTGAACGACAATTATCTGAAAAAACCTTTTTGCATTTTTAAGACTATGGTCGGAACATTATGTGCTACTCGCACAGTTACCGGCTATCCTTGTTTATAATTTCTGTAAGATGATGTGGCTAATTGGAAGATAGGATTTTTTCTCAAGTTTTGTTCGCTGAAATGATTTTCTTAAATCAGTTTTTTTGATCGTTTTAAAAAAAATTTTTAATCTTTATTTATCGTTTTTTAAAAACTGTTTCTGTCTAATCTTATCTTTAATTTATACTAAAGTACTCTCATGGATTGCGAATTTTGCCACCGTATATGTAGTTTTCGAGATATGACGTGTTTTATGATTTCTTTTTAATTTTTCAGAAAACTCAATTTACAAATTGATTTTAACTTGCTATTTCCAACCCTCCTGTAGTTGGGTGCTGTAAAAGTACTCTCAAGGATTGTGAAACTTGCCTCCGAATATGACTGCTCAATTT